AGTCTGTTGTCATGAAGGACAGCTCTCAGTCATGAAGTGATCAACTCACAGGGATATAAACACTCCCAGACCACTGAAGCATGTGCTGCCAATGCAAAGTGTCCTCTCTATGCAAATTAGCCTCATGGAGCAAGGCAGATAGCGTATGCCTCATTTGGTAATATATGGGATACACACTGAGTGTCCAAGACATTAGGAACGCCTTCCTAATATTGAGTTCCACCCACTTTTGCCCTCAGAGCAGACTCAATTTGTCAGGTCATGGACTCTATAAGGTGTCGAAAGTTTTCCTTCCACAGGGATGCTGGCCCATGTTTACTCCAATGCTTCCCACAGTTGTGTCAAGTTGGCTGGTAGTGGATCTCTACTCTGAATTGCTCGTTCCATCTCATCCCACAGATGCTAATTTTATTGAGATCTGGTGACTGGGCAGGCCACTGCGGTAAGCTGAATTCACTGTCATGTTCGTGGAACTATTCCTGGATAATCCTAGCCTTGTGTCATGGGGCATTATACTGATGAAAAAATCAATTTGCAGATAGATACACTTCTGCCATGAATGGATGCACCTGATTGGCAATTTAAACATTGCTCCACTTTTATCAAGGGCCCAATGTGTGCTATGAAAAACACACCCCACACCATCACACCACCAACGTTGACACACAGCATTTTGGATGCATGTACTCATGTGGTTTTGTCCATACCCTAGTCCTCCCATCAACGTAAAACAGCAGGAACAGGGATTCATCAGATCAAGCAATATTTTTCAAATTCTCCAGTGTCCAGTATTTCCGTTCCATAGCCCACTGCAAACTCAGTTTCTTGTTTTTTTGCTGAAAGAAGTGTAACTTTGTAAGGATGTCGGCTGCCATACCCCATTCGTGTCAAGGTACGATTAGTTGTGCATTCTTTTATGGGTCTTTGGTCACAAATGTTGTACTAGTCTGTCAGTTGACTAACTGTAGCCCGTCTGTTGCTCTGCACAATTCATGTCAGACCATTCTTGATACACATGGGAAACTGTTGACTGTGAAAAACCCAGCAGTGTTGCAGTTCTTGACACACAAACCGGTGCGCCTGGCACCTACTACCATACCCCGTTAAAAGGCACTTCAATATTTTGTCTTGCCCATTCACTCTCTGAATGGCACACATACACAATCCATGTCTTAATTGTCTCAAGGCTTAAAAACCATTCTATATCTCCTCCCCTTCATCTACACTGATTGAAGTGGATTTATCAAGTGACATCAATAAGCGATCACAGCTTTCACCTGGATTCACCTTGTCAGTCTGTCATGGAATGTTCCTAATGTTTTGTGCACTCAGTGTATATCATCCATTGTGTGACTGTTTTCATTTTGAGGTGTTGGTCGGTCAAATAAATTAAGGGGAACCTTATGACTCTCGACTGTAGTCCTCAAACACCTATACTGGTCTAGGTCCTTAACACTACACTGTTCTAGTCCTGAACACATAATGTCTAGGTCCCACACTATCACTGTGTCTAGTCCTGAAAACGATCACTTGTTCTAGTACCTAAACACTATCACTGGTCTAGTCCTGAAACACTATCACGGTTTACCCCTAAACACTACCCCGGGTTTTCCTAGTCCGGGAACACTAAAAAGGGTCTGGGCACTAACATATCACTGGTTAGTCCTGAACACTATAAATGTTTAGTCTTTAAACATTTAAACTGGCCTGGGTTGAACAACCCAAATGGTTACCCCTCAAACATATCACTGGTCAGTCCGGAACATATCACTGGTTTTTGGGCCAAAACAAAAATCATTTGTTTTTAAAAACACTTCATGGGTTAGTCCTAAACCCTAAAACGGTTTTAGTATCAACATATAAAGGGTTCTGGTTCCCTGAACACTACCCAAGGGTCTAGCCCCAAACTATCACTGGTGTGGTCCTAACATTTCCCACTTTTTCTGCCCTCAACACTATCCGGGTCTAGTCCTGAACCTATCAGGTTTATTTCATAAAACACAAATCATTTGGTCAGCCCTGAACACTCCCCGTTCTAGTCTTTCAAACAAAACTGGGTTATTTCCTAAAACACTATCACTGTTCTAGTCAGCAACACTATCACTGGTCTAGTCCAGGCAACACTGTCACTGGTTCTAGTCATCAACAACACTCTCAACTGGGTCTAGTCCCCTAACCACTATCCACTGGTCTAGTCCTGAAACTACTCACTGTTCTAGTCCCTTAACACTATCACTGGTCTAGTCCTGAACACTATCACTGTTCTCGTCCCTAACACTATCACTGTTCTAGTACTGAAACACTATCACTGGTTCTAGTCCCTTAACACTAGCACTGGTCTAGTCCCTTAACCACTATCACTGGTTCTAGTCCATGAAACACTATCTCCACTGGTCTAGTCCCTCAACACTATCACTGGTTAGTCCATGAACAACTATCACTGGTCTTACTCCTCAACACTCTCACTGGTCTAGTTCCTGAACACTATCACTTGATTCAGTCCACTAACACTATCACGGGTTCTAGTCTGAACACTATCACTGTTGCTATCATTCAAACACTATCACTAGTCTAGTTCCTGAAAACACTATCACTGGTCTACTCCTCAACAACTATCACTGGTCTAGTCCCTGAACACTATCACTGGTCTAGTCACTAACACTAAAACTGGTTCTAGTCCTGAACACTATCACTGTTCTAGGTCATCCCACACTATCACTGGTCTAGTCCTGAAGGACATCACTGTTCTAGTCATCAACACTATCACTGGTCTAGTCCTGAACACTATCACTGGTCTAGTCATCAACACTATCACTGGTCTAGTCCCTAACACTATCACTGGTCTACATTTTACATGTACATTTTTTAGTCATTTAGCAGACGCTCTGATCCAGAGCGACTTACAGTTAGTGAGTGCATACATTATTCTTTTTTCATACTGGCCCCGTGGGAATCAAACCCCACAACCCTGGCGTGGTCTAGTCACTAACAACTATCACTGTCTAGTCCTGAAACACTATCACTGGTCTTAGTCCTTCAAAAACTCTCATTGGTCTAGTCCTCAGTACTATCACTTGTCTAGTCCTGGAACAACTATCATTGGTCTAGTTCCTCAACACTATCACTGGTCTAGTCCTTAGTACTATCACTGGTCTACTCCTGAACACTATCACTGGTCTAGTCCTCAACACTATCACTGGTCTAGTACTTAAACACTATCACTGGTCTAGTCCTCAGTACTATCACTGATCTAGTCCACAAACACTATCCACTGGTCTAGTCCCTAACACTATCGCTGGTCTAGTCCTCAACACTATCACTGGTCTAGTCCTCAACACTATCACTGGTCTAGTCCTCAACACTATCACCGGTCTAGTCCTCCCCCTCAGCACCTGCAGCTAAGACTGTCTGAGAGTGGTCTGAGTGGGGAGGGGAAAACGGAAAACTAGCTGTTATGGCAGAGAGGTTGGAACTCTCTTTGTTATTGGTCTATTAACTAATTTGCTACATGGTTAATGTCACCATGGAAAGCCGAACCATCCTCAAATGCAAACCTGCTAATTAGAAGGTCCTATGTACAGTACATCATATTTTCAACTAGGAACAATCATGAAATAACACTGATCCATTTTTTCACACTTTTACAGTGTTAGTTTCATCAGCTGTTGTACAATATTATATAAAACACAAGAAAAACTGAATTTTGACTGCACAGAGCCTTTAATGGATTACTGCTGGTTTTACAGCACTGGAGAGTAACTGCAGTATGTGACCTGAAAGGACAGCTTTCACTGCAGGAGTCTGAGTCACCGTGATCTGCCCTCGGGATACTAAGAAAATAATAACACATTGTCAAGATCAGATTCCATTTAAGATCAGTTTTCTAGAACATAATATGCTTTAGAATTCAACAGCAACTTCAACTTGAAAGCAAATGACAAGCATCAAGATGAAGGGGTCTATTCAATCCGTATTGCTGAAGTTCAGCGTTAAGCGTGATTGGAATTTAAAGGTAATGTTCCTGTGTTAGCGGAGACTGCATTCACGGTAAACGCTGCATATGGGGTGGCAGGTAGCCTAGCAGTTAAGAGGTCGCTAGTTCGAATCCCTGAGCCGACTAGGTGAAAAATCTGTCGATGTGCCCTTTAGTAAGGCCCTTATTGCTCCTGTAAGTCCCTCTGGATAAGAGCATCTGCTAAGTGAAGTAAATGTAATATGTCAGCTCAATCAAAAATTATCTTGACATTTCTATCCGGCAATCTGTAATACTTCAACGATACAACTTTTATTTCAGATGAAGGGCTCTATTCAATCCGTATTGCTGAAGTTCAGCGCTAAAGCCCAATTGAAATGTAAAGGCTTCAGCGATACAGATTGAATACAGCTCTAACTGTCACTTCACTCATGCTTGGACTCTTATGAAAGTTTCTCAAATCATTTCTCTAACATTTTGGGGTTTGTTTTATACCTTTCTATTTTACAATAAAACTATAATGTTTTTCATTTAATCAAAAAACGATTTCAAATGAAGAATATAACATTAGTGGCACAGTGGTCTAAGGCACTGCATTGCAGTGCTAGCTGTGCCACTAGAGATCCTGATTCGAATCCAGGCTCTGTCGTATCCGGCCGTGACTGGGAGACCCATGGGGCGGCGCACAATTGGCCCAGGGTGGGGGATGGAATGGCTGGCAGGGATGTAGCTCAGTTGGTAAAGCATGGGTTGTGGGTTCGATTCCCACGGGGGGACAGTATGAAATTTTTTTATAAAAATGTAAGTCGCTCTGGATAAGAGCGTCTGCTAAACAAAAATAAAAAGATACAAATTAAAAAAAAAAAGAAACAAATTATATTTGGCCAGCATTCCTATGTGCTCATGATTTAAACCACAGTCTAAAAAAATTAAGTATTCAGCTTGCCCAATGGTCAGGAGGTTTTTATACCAGCAGTAATAGGGATTGTATCACTGTGGTACACTTTTGGTAGCGGCACCAGACTAGATGTTGGAAGTAAGTTTCTTGATGTTTGTCTGATTCCATTTATTTTCTTAAACTCTTTAATCTCTATTAAAACATTTAGATTTGAGATAATTTACTTTCCAAAAATATTGTTATATATTGATTTTGAAAGAGCCTTCTTTCAACAGTTTATTTAATCAAAATGTTAAATTGCAGGCATTTTTTGTATGTTTTATTTGTATGATTGCAGGACTATATAACTCTTATTCTGGTATGATAACTATAATATGTGTTATTGTAGTCATCAGTGCATTGTGTTCATGATAGCCACAAGGGGTCTCTGTTATGTTTGTATCCAACCTCTTGGATTCTGCAAAATACTACAAATATGAGTATTCTGATGAGAAACGATCCTAGAAATATATATGTATGACAAAGTAATGCTAAAGTTAAACACGTCATACTTAAATGCTTTCTGCTTGTATACTTTATACTTGTAATCTGCTTTCCTATCACACTAATGTTTGTGTTTTCTTCACGTCTTTTAGCAATCTAATCTAAAGTACTTTGTTTTGATGTAGTTGATGTGTTCTGTTTGTTCCAGTTAACAGTTCCCCAACCCGTCCTTCCCCACTCTAGTGAGGAGCTGTCCAGTAAGTCAACAGCCACACTGACGTGTCTGGCCAACAAGGGCTTCCCCTCAGACTGGACCATGAGCTGGAAAGTGGACGGGACCAGCAAGAAGCAGGAGGCCAGTCCCAGGGTCCAGGAGAAGGACGGCCTGTACAGCTGGAGCAGCACACTGACTCTCACTGCCCAGGAATGGACCAAGGCAGGAGAGGTGACCTGTGAAGCCCAGCAGAAATCCCAGACTCCAGTCACCAAGACCCTGAGGAGGGCTGACTGTTCTGGGTAGGACCCCTCAGTCACACAGCCCTGTGGAGAGAGGATGCTGGTTCCTCTGCTTTGACTAGCTTTGTTCTAAAATCAGTAATTCTCTGATTTAGTGATCACCCTGGTGTAGACTAACAGGGGGCTTGGCTTGAGTTCATGTGTCAATCCATTCTGTAGATTGAGATTTTGTTCGTTTTAGATTTGATGTGATCTGCTTTTATTCACTTTCATGTTTGCTTTGATGCTTCGATTTTGTGATAATGGATTTAAAAAAGATTTCTTTTTGAAATGCATATTTTTGTATTGTTTCTATTAATAAACTGGATCATAGATACTGTATATTTGTTAAATATTGGAAAAATATGTATTCAGTAAGGCTGATTAATGGTGTCTTTAAAAACTCTAAAGTCTAAAACTCACTCTAACATCATAATGGACCAGTATTTAATACTATCACAATATATTATGACATAATAGAAGAGGTTCTGCCATGGTAGTAGTTGACTGTCTTCATTCATCAGGATACTGAGTCTGTGACAGACCTGTTTGACTTGACAGACTTTACAGTAATAAAATAAGAACTATCAAACAGTCAACCGATATCTTGGACTCTCAAGTGTGTAATAGGCTTTGATTTGAAGCTAAAAAAAAAAAAAATACAAATACAAATATTAAAAGTGGCACTACTTCAAGATTTAGCAGCGTTTCCATTACTCGGTCCTCAAGGGGTGCACATTTAGTTTTTTATCCTAACACTACACAGCTGATTCAAATTATCATAACTTGATGATTAGTTTATTATTTGAATCAGGTGTGTAGTGCTAGAGCAAAAACAAAAACGTGCACCCCTTGGGGTCCTGAGGACCGACTTTAGAAAACGCTGATATATAGTGTAGTGACAGTCTTCTCTACCTCCAACCCCCTGGGGACAGAGTGAACATCTGGTGACAGTACTGCTCTATTCTGGGACAAGCAGAACCACCCAACCCTGTCTATGGAAATCTCAGTTTCACTCCCACAGATACCAGTCTAGTAGTTGGACAGTTTCACTGCCTGAAATACCCTGGACTGGGCCAGATGTGAGGGAGTGGACTGGTTTTACTGTAACCTCTATAGTGGATTCAGGGAGGGGGACTTTCTTACAATGAATAAACCACCATTTAATAGATGGCATAAAATATGGGTATTACTAAATATAGGCATTGACAGTTACTGACATCACATTCTAATTCCTAATTCTATGGTTACGGAGATGTGTGTAATGTCTGAGCTCAAAATCTTTTTCCTGAAAGCAGAGAGCAAGTGTCCAGATGAGGATGGTGATAAAAGTCATGGTTGTTGTGGGTTCTGTTGTCATGAAGGACAGCTCTCAGTCATGAAGTGTTCAACTCACAGGGCTATAAACACTCCCAGACCACTAAAGCATGTGCTGGCAATGCAAAGTGTTCTCTCTACGCAAACAGACTTTTATGGTCCCACAGAGAATCTGTAGTTGAAGAGATCTTCTTCTTTGGTATAATGGTGTTCGCAACAATTGTGTATTCCGCCACCTACTGTACAGATGGATAATAAGGATCCAAAAAGGAAAAAAATGTGGGGTAAAAAATAAATAAATAAATACTTTTTAAAAAATCCATACAAACTATCAGTAACAAAATGTTAATTCAACTAAATCAAAACGAAATGTGTTTTAATCAGGTCCCTACACAGGCTCAGAAGGATCCTGTGATGGCGGGACATTTCCTGGCGACAGTAGTCCTTGCAGTGCTTCTGCTGTTAAGTCTTCTCGGCTGCAGATATAATGATGTCCAGCTTCTTAGACACTTGTGCAGTACAATTAATAACTGTGGCTATAAATGCTACAAAATATACTTTTTTCACAATAAGTGTATCCAGATTACTTCATTGAAGTATAACATTTGCAACTGGTTATGGTGCATCCACCACCATATCTTCTTCAGAACTTCAACGCTCTTCACCGCCTCCACATAGGAGATTTGCTGTACAGCCCTGATCCTTGACACCTCAACCTCTTTCACCCTAACAGAACACTCAGGGTATTTGGAAATATGATCCCCGCCACAGTTGAAACATTTACATTCACAGACTCTTCAATAAACATATTCCTTCCATCTGCAAACACTTGACACATGGCCAAACGTTTTACACATTTTGCATTGCTTCGGGTTTTTTGCACGAATGCTCTTACAGCGTATCTTATATCCCAACTTTACATAGGGTGGTAAATACTCATCAAACATCAATAATACAGATAAACTTTGCTCCTTTTTCCCATTCTCCATACGGTTCAAGTGACGTGCATTAACTACACCTGGAATTTTTTGCCTAAGATATTGATTATCAATGTCTAACGGGACGCCAGAAATAAACACCTTTTTACCGGTTTCCTGCTCCGAAAACCAAAGCTGTTCACTTCATGCGTCGATATTTTCGCGAGCCACAATGCACATTCCTTTTGCTCTTTAGATACACACCATATCAACACCATCCTGGTTACTATGATATCAACACCATACCACTCCTGGTTACTATGATATCAACCCCATACCACTCCTGGTTACTATGATATCAACACCAGACCACTCCTGGTTACTATGATATCAACACCAGACCACTCCTGGTTACTATGATATCAACACAATACCACTCCTGGTTACTATGATATCAACACCATACCACTCCTGGTTACTATGATATCAACACCATACCACTCCTGGTTACTTTGACTGCATCCACGTTTCCCAACGCCTACTTCACCATCCTCGTGACTTCAAAAGGGTTTCCCAAATAAACATCTTTATCCAAAAAAACTTACTCCAACAAGGAACGATTCATCAGACTCATTTTCCACAACAATTGTAGCCCTTTCTGTTCTATTCTTGGACTTCACTATTGTCCACTAATATTTCTCACTAACTGTACTCAACGCGTTTTCAGCTTCAAACGACACTTCTTCTTCCACCATCTCGATGTATGAGCAGCTGACCTTTAAAAAGTTTGAGAGCTGATTGTCCAGCCAATCATGGCCTTGATTGGTAAATGAGCCTCAGCTGGAATCAATTAAAGACTGGGAAGGTGCTGGAAGATAGCAGGGCGTGCCAGGAACGAGGTGTTGTACTAACGGTCAGGCGTTTAAGAAATATATCATTGATTTAGAGATTAAACCTGATGTGGCTTAGACCACATCTTGATTTGATTATTCCTGGTTATTGTTCAATCAGATCCGATAGATCAACTGGACAGGGTGGTATTTGTACTATGTTCATAAGAGAAGGTCTTGTATATCGTAATATACCTGTCCCATCTGAATATGAATGTGTGATGGTGGAAATATACATTGCAGGTAGTAATATTAAGTTGCAAAATTTTTACAACTGTCTGTAGCGATGTTTTATGAAATGTCAGGAGAAATGGGCTCTAGAGAGATATGGTGCGGCAACTTTAATGCACATAATAGTTTATGGGGAAGCACACATACTGATGCTGATGGTACTATTGTGAAGATATGATGGAAACAAACATGAACAGCGCCGGAGAAGATGGCTGCCGTTTTACAGCCCTCTAACCAATTGTACTATTATGTGTGTTTTTCCGCGTTATTTGTAATTTATTTTGTACATAATGTTTCTGCCATCGTCTCTTATAACCAAAAAGAGCTTCTGGATATCAGGACAGCGATTACTCACCTCGCATTGGACGAAGATTTTTTCTTCAACGAGGCGGTCGCGAAGGATATTCTACAGACACCCGACAAGGCCCAGATCCCCATCATTCGCGTGAGGAAGAGACTGAGATATCGAGGACGCAGATCCGGGTACCTTGTAAGGATCCGACGGCGAGCGAGTAAACTGCCCCTTCCATCAATCCAATAGCCAACGTTCAAGCTTTTGAGAATAAAATGGATGATTTAAGATTACGGTTATCCTACCAACGGGACATTAAAAACTGTAATATCTTATGTTTCACGGAGTCGTGGCTGAACGACAACAATGATAACATTCAGCTAGCAGGCTATACGCTACATCGGCAGGAGAGAACGGCAGCCTCTGGTAAGACAAGGGGTGGCGGTCTGTGTATATTTGTAAACAACAGCTGGTGCACAAAATCAAATACTAAGGAAGTCTCGAGGTTTTGCTCGCCTGAGGTAGAGTATCTTATGATAAGCTGTAGACCACACTATTTACCAAGAGAGTTTTCATCTATATTTTTCATAGCTGTCTACTTACCACCACAAACCAATGCTGGCATTAAGATTGCTCTGAATGAGTTGTACAAGGCCATTAATCAACAGGAAAACGCTCATCCAGATGCAGCGCTCCTAGTGGCCGGGGACTTTAATGCAGGGAAACTTAAATCCGTTCTACCTAATTTCTACCAGCATGTTAAATGTGCAACCAGAGGGAAAAAAACTCTAGACCACCTTTACTCCACACACAGAGACGCATACAAAGCTCTCCCTAGCCCTCCATTTGGTAAATCTGACCATAACTCTATCCTCCTTGATAATAGACAGTACTGTGCAGCCGTCTTCATCGACCTGGCCAAGGCTTTCGACTCTGTCAACCACCGCATTCTTATTGGCAGACTAAATAGCCTTGGTTTCTCAAATGACTGCCTCGCCTGGTTCACCAACTACTTCTCAGATAGAGTTCAGTGTGTCAAATCGGAGGGCCTGTTGTCTGGACCTATGGCAGTCTCTATGGGGGTGCCACAGGGTTCAATTCTTGGGCCGACACTTTTCTCCGTGTATATCAATGATGTCGCTCTTGCTGCTGGTGACTCTCAGATCCACCTCTACGCAGACGACACCATTTTGTATACATCTGGCCCTTCATTGGACACTGTGTTAACAAACCTCCAAACGAGCTTCAATGCCATACAACAATCCTTCAGTAGCCTTCAACTGCTCTTAAACACTAGTAAAACTAAATGCATGCTTTTCAATCGAACGCTGCTAGCACCCGCCCACCCGACTAGAATCACCACTCTCGACGGGTCTGA